TTGAAGATAACATCAATAATAATAATACCTCAAAAGAGGATCCAATCACCTTTGAAGAGGTAAATATTCCAGATAAAGATAGAAACGTCAATAATTTTGAAATTTCAATTAATTACGTTTCTAATGGAAGACAATGGAATAAAAAAGATATTGATATTAATGATATATTTTCATATGCAATCGTCACAGATATAGTGAATGAACATGATGACAATGAGCCTAAATCTATAGACGAATGTCATTGTAGAAATGATTGGCCAAAATGGAGTGAAGCAATTCAGGTAGAATTAAAATCGCTAGAAAAGCGTAATGTTTTTGGACCAATAGTCCATATGCCAAAAGGCATAAAACCTGTCGGTTTTAAATGGGTTTTACGAGAAAAATGAAATCGTTATATACAAAGCCCGACTTGTTACTCAAGGTTTTTCTCAAATGCCAGGAATCGATTATGATGAGACATATTCTCCAGTACTTGATGCTACTACTTTAAGATTTTTAATTGACATGTCTGTTTTTGAAAGGCTGCAAATGCGCCTAATGGATGTGGTGACCGCATATTTATACGGCTCACCCGACACAAACATATATATGAGAATTCCTAGAAGCTTTAAAATACTCGATGCTTATACCCCGAAATCTCGAGATTTATTTTCCATTAAATTGCAAAAGCCATTATATGAGTTAAAACAATCTGGACGCATGTGGTATATCTGTCTCAGTGAATATTTGATTAAAGAAGGATACAAAAATGATCCTTTTAGTCCACGTGTTTTCATTCAACGATCTGAATCAGGATTCACCATAATTGCGGTATATGTTGATGATTTGAATATAATTGGAACTATCAATGAAATTGAAAATACTGCAAAACATCTCATGAAAGAATGTGAAATGAAAGACCTTCGAAAGAACAAAATTTTGTCTTGGCATTCAAATTGAACATTTGAGAAATGATATTTTTATCTACCAATCAAATTATACCGAGAAACTTTTGAAGCGGTTTTACATGGTAAAACACACCAGCTCAATTCTCCAATGGTGGTTGAATCTCTCAATGTGAACGGTGATTTTTTCGACCTTGTGAATATGATGAATAAATCCTTGGTCTTGAAATACTATATTTGAGTGCTATTGAAGTATTAATGTATTTGACTAATAATATTTGATCAGATATTGCTAGTTTTTTCTATAAATTTGTTAGGCAGATATAGCTCAGGTCAAAGGATGTTACATCAAAGGAGATAGAATAAATCACATATCACCAAAACTTTTCTCCACACACGATCTTGAGAAAGAAGGAACGATTGACGTCAAACAAATCAAGTCTTTCGACAACCCTGCTGTTTTATTCACAAAATCATTGGCCTTGAAGAAATTTGAAGAACTGGTCCACAAAATTAGAATATACCGTCTTCGAGATATATGTTAAATTGAGGGGGAGTAATATAATGCACTGCACTTTTTTTTTCTTTCGCTCAGGATTTTATCTCATTGGGTTTTTCCTGACAAGGTTTTTAACGAGACAATACATTATAATACTATAACATCAAATGTTGTACTCTTTTTCCCTAACTATGATTTTCATCACATTGTGGAAACCATAGTGATAGAGTATTTATCTAGAGAGAAGTGAGAGCTAGAAAGAGAAGTGCAAGTAAATGCTTCAATAGAATGATTTTGTAACCCCTACAACTACCTCCAGAGGAAGTATTTATAGGAAAAATACGGGCTGGGCTCCCAAGCCTTGGGCTTGGGAGGCCCATTTACAACTGGACCGCTATTGGGCCGAATACAATGTGTGTAGAAAAGATTAAGTGTAAAATCTAGTTCTATGAGGCTTTCGTGGCTGACGAGGGCACGGCCGATGAGGGTACGGCCGACGAGGGCACGGCCGACGGGGACACCCAAGTTCCCTAGCTTCAGGACCATATTCTGAGTTGGTCCCTCTTCGGCCGACGGGGATCCTCTGGCCGACGCGGGTACCACTTGGTAGCTTGCGCTTTCTGTTCTTCTGAGTATATGGGTCCTGGGGCCTAGACCCATATACTCCATCACATAGTAAGATTTTTAACGAGGCAACTAATACTCATGAATAATAGGAAAATGACCATTCAAGAGAGAGTATTGAAATATAATGAATTAGTCATCTCCTAACTATTCATGATTAATAAGTCATTATTATCATTATCAAGATAATTCAGAAATCACAAATATGATTTCTAGCTATTGATTATGTGAGTAATATTAATCCCTCATCTTGAGCTAATCAATTGTTTAGCCTATAAACAGAGGCTCTTTGCTTCGTTGTAAACACACCATGATTACACCATTATCACATTCTCAAGAACATCTTTATACTTAATATAATTTTCCTTAATTTTCTGCTCCTTTCTTTCTATTTTATAACATTAGTCATATTTTTTGGGAAAAGAGAAAAGTAGTCACTTTTTTTACGTTATGTATTTCACAAAGCTATAGTTAGTATAATTTTATACAGAGTATATATTTGGACCAATTATATAGTTTTATACAAAAGTATTTTTGGACAAAAATATTTATGGAGAAACACATAAAATATAGGCATTTTTGACAAGAGACATGTGAATTGTGACCCCTTGCTTACATGGTACTCCGTAATATATTAAAGGCTAAAGGGTCAAATAGGTCCTTGTACCCTTTCGGATTGCTCAATTTGCCCCCTCAACCCAAAAAAGCTCCAATTGGCATCCTGAACTCGATAAAAATATTCAAATTTCACTTTTTGCAGGTTTCAATCTGGTCACCGCCACGTCACCCGGTAAGGTGCCAATTGGGCATGTGACGTGGCAACTTAGGGGGTCAAATAAGCCCCTGAACCCGATCGAATCGTTCAATTTACCCCATCAACCCTAAAAAATGTCAAAAAAAATTTAAGGGTTGAGGGAGTTAATTGAACATTTCAGTCGGGTTCAAGGGCTTATTTGACCCCCCTGAGTTGGCACCCTACCGAGTGATGTGGCGGTGACCGGCTTGTAACCTGCAAAAAGTAAAATTTGAATCTTTTTATGGAATTCAGGGTGCCAATTGAAGGTTTTTTGAGTTCGGGGGGCAAATTGAACAACCCGGAAAGGTACAGGGACCTATTTGACCCTTTAGCCTATATTAAAAAGTGTCTTAAGACTCCATAAATTTTTGTGAGACTTGGAAAAAACTATAGGAAGACATCATCTCTACATGTTTAAGAATACCCTGTCCAATGTACAGTGTACAAAAAGTTCATCAAAAAAACCATAATTATTAGTATTTTTATAAATGTACTACTTTTGTCCTATTGAAAGGTTCTCATGACAAAACGACACGGTTATTTAGACAATAATTAAATAAGATAGTTCGAGTATATTTGAGAAATAATTTTAATAGGTATACAATATAATTAGATTAGTGTTGATAACTGTGATGTTATAAATGTATTTTTTTAATTTAATGATTAATTTATCATTTAAGATTGTTAATTATTTCCTAAAATGATAATGGGGGTGTTTGGCAATTAGCTGTTGGCTGTTGGCTGTTGTTGATTATTTTAGCTGATTGAAGACAACAGATTCTGTTGGCTATTTTGATTAGCTGATAGAATTAGCTGTTTGTAAAATAGTGTTTGGTTAAATGAGTGTTTACAATCAGCGGATAACTTGTTAAATGACTTTTAAGGACATCGATTATATATTTTCTTATTAATATAATTAGTATAACTAATTAAAACATTTTAATCCTTTCAAAAATAAAAAAATACTCTAACACAAATAGTAATTATTTTCAACATCGTTTTTCATGAATTGATAGATTTAATTAGTGTGATGATATTTTGATTAATAAATGGAGTTATTATAAAAATCATATCAAGAAACTAATGCTATTAAGCGTATGTATACATGTGTTAAGTAAAGAAATATGTATGAATGAAGCAAGATGAATTGAATCAAATGCCTGCTCGTCGTTGTATTTCATTTCATTATTCCAAAAAAATGCTTTGTATAAATTAGGAACTACCAATAATAGAAAGAAGCACTACGAGTGGGGGGCAATTTTCAATTCTACCGATTTTCTCTAACGAGTAGGAGACTCGTACGAAAAAGAAACGGGGGTAGCGCAGGAATAATCATAACAGCCTATCCTAAACGCTAGAGTGATTGGCGTTTCATATTTTAGCTGCTGGAGATAAAAAGACAAACGTAAAAACCATTTAACCAAACACCCTAATTAGCTGATTGATTGGTCAAAAGGCTAAATGTTGGTCAAATCAGCCAAAAATTGGCTGATAGGCTCCTAACCAAACACCCCCAATGAGAATATTTATATGGGACGTTCAAATAAGAAAATAGAAATTGCTCTAAATAGGAGCAAAAACGTTTTGAAATTCCAAAATAGGAGTATCATGTTTTTTATTCCTTGAATAGGAGTAATCTGCTAAGTTTGGAAAAAAATGTCATGTTTTAAAGCCTAGTAATGACAAATTTGGCAGAACTTTAGTCCTATTCAAAGAATAAAAAACATGATACTCCTATTTTGGAATTTCAAAACTTTTTTACTCCTATTTAGGGAATTCTCCCATAAGAAAAGTGAGAAACATTCTATGGCAGAGAGGAAGCATACAACTCTGGATGTGCCATGTAAAAATAAATAAGTGTGTGTACACACCCCGACAAATACACAAAGAATATGGGTGTGTTCATGAATCATGAAGAAAGACGCTCCATAATTAGATGAAACCTCTTTCCATCAGAGTGTGATCAAACTTCAATTTACATCCTCCTAAATAATTGTCCGAACGATTTTAGGAGCTTAGGGATAGAGTATCATCCTTTTTTTGATATGCTAAAGACGTCACAAAAACTAACAATGACTTTGGTGTACTCGCTCTATCCCTGAATTATCTTTCAATTTTTTTCTGTCCATCCCAAAATAGTTTTATTTTTTCTCTTTTTAAAACAGAATACATATCTCACGTCAAACTCTCTGTTACACAATTCTCATTTTTCTAATTCATGTTCAAAAATTCTATTTGGAAGACAATTAGGGATTTGGAAGATAATTAGGGAGGGAGGTTACATGTACTGATGTACATGCTATCAAAATTCTTCATCCCAATGGTCATGTTCCAAAAATTGATTATTTCGGTACAAGTTGTAGGCATGTAGCACTAGCACCGCCCATTATCTAATTCAGAAATTCATAATTCATGACTAGCATTCATTTGCAGAAACTGGAAAATGGCGAACAGGGTCTCCAATATGTCCGATCTGATTCAGCGCATTACAGCATCTTGCCTGCTCCACCCGCCCGTCACTGCCGCCGGTCACGATAACGGAGATTCCGACGAAGACAAGTACAACGACTCCAACTCCGGCGATGCGGAAATTACTCACTGCGAAGACGGCGGAGAAGGAGAAGGAGAAGATTCCGAAATTCTGGAAAGCAATAATAAGGAGGATCTCAGATCGGAAAGGGTCGTAGAAATGGAAATGATATTGGGGGAAGTGTTCGAGGCGGTGGTGAACATGAAGAAGGCGTACGTTAGCCTGCAGCAAGCGCACATTCCTTGGGATCCGGATAAGATGCGCGTGGCTGACGTGGCCGTGGTGGCAGAGCTCCGGAGGCTGGGTATCTTGAAGGAAAGGTATAAGCGGAGCGTCGGCGCTGATGGCGGCGAAAGAGGGAGGCGGATTGTTGGGGCGGCGACGCTGAGGGAAGTGGTGGCTCCGTACGAGGCGGTGGCAGATGATTTGAGAAGAGAAGTGAAGTGTAAAGAAGCTGAGATAGAGACCTTGAAAGAGAAGCTCAAAACGACGGCATCGTTGACTCATAGTAAAGGGAAGAAAATAAAGTCAAAGCAAAACGTAAGCTGCAGCACTCAACTCCAAGGTACAAAACTTTCTAGCACCTTTTTGGTTGATAATAGAAGTCAAATTAAACTATTTTTTTTCAAAAGAAGTCAAATTAAACTATTTTTTTTCAAAAGAAGTCAAATTAAACTATTGATTACCAAATTATAGTCACTAGCCTATGATTGAAATAATACATCTAAAGAGCTTTTTAATTGTGATGAATGAATTATGTACTTCATACTCTTGTAAGAATACAAATCTTTTTTGTATTCCATATTTTTCAGCTATCAGCCATCAATATTTTTATCAAACAAACAACTTTTTTATTTGGAACGTTAAATTGTGTTATTTTGTAATAATTTACGGAGTAAGTTAATTTGTGAGTTATATTTTGTTTGAATTGGTGGAAGTTACTTTAAAAGACCATTGTAACTGTTTTTTCCTTTATTTTATCGTAAAATATATACTTATGATTTAAATATGGCTAAAGGGTCAAATAGATCCTTGTATCCTTTCGAATTGCTCAATTTGTCCCCTCAACCCAAAAAAGCTCCAATTGGCACCCTGAACCCTAAAAAATGTCAAAAAAATTTAGGGGTTGAGGGGGTAAATTGAACATTTCAGTCGGGTCAGGGGCTTATTAAACCCCCTAAGTTGCCATGTCACATGCACAGTTGGCACCCTACCGGGTGATGTAACGGTGACCGACTTGTGACCTGCAAAAAGTAAAATTTGAATGTTTTTATGGAGTTCAGGGTGCCAATTGGAGCTTTTTTGAGTTCGGGGGGCAAATTGAACAATCTGGAAAGGTACAAAGGCCTATTTGACCCTTTAGCCTTTAAATATATTTTTTCTTCATTCATACACTTCAATTATAATTTCATCAATTTCAATATTATCAAATTGACCCTAAATTTAATTGTGCATTAAGTATTTTTGTATAATTTAGGTATCTTAACAACTTTAATGTTTAATCATAAAAACAAGACAAGTAATTTCCAAAATGTGGAATCTAATGTCTTTTATAATAAAAGGATTGTGGTCCTTGCATTTAGGCTACTTTTAGTCTTGCTTAGGACTAATAGCCCATAAGTTTAAGGGAGAATTATCCAAATAGGACTAAATGAAACTTTAATTGTAAATATAGGACCATAAGTTAAAAATTCTCTAAATAGGACTAGCTTTCCCATTCTACCCTTGCTTTCTTTTAATACAACTCATATTTCATTAATAATTAAAACATAAAAGTAATAACATATTTTATTTTTAACAAAAATGTAAAAAAATATTAAAATGAAATAAATATTAAGTAGAATTAATAAAAAAATCGAAAAATAAAAAACTCAAAAATAAAAAAAACTTAAAAAAGCCATCTCAACCGATGTTTAAAAAACCGACCCGAGCTGGTCGGGTCGACCTGGAACCCGACGACCCGGACAAAAAACTGGTTCGGTTTGTTCAAAACCCGGAAATGGTCAAAAACCGGAAAAACCCGGCCCAGACCCAGACCCAAGAAACCCGAAAAAACCAGGAAAACCTGGTTTGGGGTGCTTTTTCAAAAAAAAAAGTAATTTCTTTTTGGTTTTAATGCATTTTTTAACCAATAAAATTGCAATTTCAATACCCTAAAAAGAAAAACTATGTAATATATTTATATATTTATTTAAGAATGAAAATCATGCCAAATTATAATATAAATGTATAATACAAATAAAAATATCATTATATATTTTTATAGGATCAAAATTATACTTTGAAATATTATGAGAGTGTATTAAATGCTTAAAAAGTAGTATTATATTGTTAGTTGATTATTATGATCAATAACTACTTTTTATTATAATTTTGTATATAATTATATGTTTATTATTATTATTATATAGACGTATAATCGTTGATCGGTTTTCTGACATTGACCGGGTTGACCCACCGGGTCCGGGTTGACCCGTGACCCAGTCATTTGACCGGGTCGCTCATCGGTCCGGTTTTTACAACATAGCCCTCAACAAGCTCCCAGCACCATCAGCTCCTACCACCGGAAAAAATGTCAGTGTGTGTCAAAATGTCATCTTGATGGCACTTTTCGAGCAAATTTTGACATTTTCAATGAGTATAAGTGCCATATTTGAGGCAATTTCAGAGAAAAATAGCAGTTTTTATATAAAATTACATTTTTAGCCATTCGGAGGTAACATTGTTGGGCAGTGGTTGAGGATGTGGGAAAGGTTTCCATATTTTTTTGTATTTTTAATGTGTTTTATATATTTTTTATTTATTTTTAAAGTTTTTATTTTTTATAAAAAAAATTAGGGATATTATCTCTAACTTTAATCCTATTTTAATAACATAGTCTTATTTGTGCATTTAGAGACTAGTTTAGTCCTATTTAGGGCTATTATCTCTAACTTTAATCTTTAATCATATAAAGAAGATAAGTACTCGTAATTTTCAAAATGTCGACGTGATGTTTTTAATTGAAAAAATAGTTTCAATGTCAAATAAGATCAAACCGACCAAACTGAAACATATCGGAACAAAGAACCATGTGTCTATACGTACCTAAACTGTACACAACTTCAATCCTTCAGCACGATTCTTTTTTATCACTTACGTAGTTAATCACAAACAAACCACATGTTCATGTGTTTTTTCAGATGAATACTTAATGGGTGAGCTAATTTGATGATGTGAAAGTGTGTAGGCATTCTAATAAACATGCCCCTAAAACAATCACCGGAGGAGGCTTAAGAGGGTTGAGCCTACTCTGTTTATTCTCATTATAAAAAAATGTAATTCGGTTTGGCCAAAATAAATGGATGTAATTGAAGAGATATGAACAGTGATGGAGTGATGGGAAATTGCGAGGATCTTCCACCTTTTTTCTTGAAACTTATCAAGAGACATCTTCAACAAATAAACATGATAGAAGATATGGAGATAGATAGGAATCTTCCGAGCCATGGGAATGGAAGCTTGGATGTCACATCCTCTTGTCTCTCATATACATCATAAATAGGACCTCTCTTATTGTTCATTTACATCAGATCAAAAAGTGACAAGCCGACATGGTGTGTGTAGAATGATATACACTTATACAAAGAGTATATTATTGAGAATTTGTTATTTGTAATAGTTGAGTGTAAGAGTTTTTCATGGGATTAAAAAATTCTTCTATTCAATATCAAGAACAGAATTACGATAAGAAGAGCAAACTCTCACACTTGACTATTGCAAAAAATCAATCCCCACTAATATACTTCTACTCTAAGTGTATTTCACTCTTCACACGCTTTTCTCACTTTAGAATCGGATGCTAATGAACAACAAGAATCACTCTATTTATAGGACCGGTTTGGAGATAAGAGCAAGTTGCATCCAAAGCTTCCATTCACATGGCTAGGGAGGTTCTTACCTATCTCCAAATCTTCTCTCATGTTTACTTGTTGGAGAGCTTCTTCCAAGAAGGTGTTAGATGTCTCTTGGCAACTTCCAAGAAAGAGGGTGGAATATCTTTACAAATCCCCCCTCCACCTTTTTCTTCATTTCTCACATCTCCGAATAAACAATGCTCACATGGATCAAGGACAACACCTTTGCCCATGGAAATGCTTTCCTTCTTAGCAAAAGTTGTCGGTCCTTTCACGCTAAAGTGGTCTAACCTCTGGTGTCACAAGTTTGGTGATGTCTCTTCTTCAACAACATTAAGACTTGGATGACACAACTTTGAATGGGTTTTATGCAGAGTGCCACAAATATGACTTCTTGCAACAATCAAGGAACCTTTAGATAACTTCCATGTACCTTCTTTGAATTGGTTAGGTTATCATATCCTTGATGATCCATAGCTATACCGGAGATAAGATTCAATCTGAGATCCGGAACGTGTTGAACATCTTTCAACATAAGTGTGCATCCTACATTGGTTGTTATGTGCACATCACCAATGCCAACAATCTTCGAGAAACTGGCGTTTCCCATCTTCACAACTCCAAAGTCTCCGGACTTGTAAGATGTGAATAAGTTTTGGTGTGGAGTGGCATGAAATGATGCGATTGTATCAACAACCCACTCAACATCATGAGTACCTACGTGTAAGAAATCTTGTTCACCATGTGTAACAAGTAAGACGTCTCATGACAAACTGATCATTGTCGCACTATCTTCCTTGCTTTGATTTTGACTCGTATGTGGCTACACTCATAAGAACTTTCTACAATCTCTTTTTCTATGTCCATAATTAGCACAATAATTGCAATATCCTTCAAATCAATTATTCTTTTCAAAGGACATACCTCGCTCTTGTGATCTGTTGCGAACTTGAGAATTCCCTCTATTTTGACTTTGACCTCTACCTCGACCTCAACCTCTTCCTCCATTTCTGCCTCCCCCTCGTCTGTTAGATTCTGACATGAGGACATATGATTGTTTAATCCTAGCTTCTTTCCCTCAGGCTTCTTCATTCATCAGGACATCTGTACCATTTGCATAGTCACTTTACCATTGGGAGCAGAATTACTGAGAGTCACAACAAGAGTCTGCCAGCTGTCAAGTAGAGAGCTCAAGAGTAGTATCCTTTGTTCTTCATATTTGAGAATCCATCCGATGGTGCTTAACATATTCACGAGATCCTGAAATTGACTCGTGTGTTCTTACACCGAAATACCACCACGTAACTTGTTGTTTACTAATCATCTCATTAGTAATGTCATGTTTTGGACGGTTTTTGCTTGGTACAAAGCTTCTCCCATTGTGTTTTTTGCTACCAAGATTCTCCCATAGTGTGTAAGCACTCTGTTCTTGAGCAACATGGTGAAACACATTATGATCGATCCACTGTCGAATTTGTACGGCAGTTTTTCGGTACATCTTAGTCCATTCTTCATTCGTCTTTTTATCTGGTTTGGCGTCATTATTATCATGAGGATCAACTAAATCCATCAAATTTAGCAAATCATCCATTCGAGGCTTCCACATATTGTAGTTTGTGGAAGTGAGCGCAATCATGGTGTCCGATGATGATTTTTCCATAATAAAGTG